AAATGACCCGAATCGAGCGTCGCCCAAGGGAATTTTACTAAACGACCCTCATCGGGCGGGACGTTTCAATAGCTAATTCGCTTCTTTTTATGCTATTACCTTATAATATCATGATTGCGGGTATTCCCGTTGTTCTCGCATGGTCATTAAAAACCAATTAACAATAAATAATGGTATAAATTAAATGGTATAATTGTTTTCCCTGTCTTTGTTTAGTTTTGGCGATTTCAGATATCTTAATTTATATTCATTTTTTCTAATCGTACCCGCTTTGACGTCGTTTCGGGTAGGATTAGAACTAAGGGCTCGTTCAGACTGAGTGCCCGGCACTGGTGCCCAATGTTCAAAATGGTTCACAAAACATGTTGAGCACAGTGCCGTTGTTGAGTACTACCTCTAGAGGTAGTGCCCGTTCTTGGGCACTGTGCCCAATTTCATTTGAAAGCGTCGTGTTCAAACTGGGAGCCAAAACAAGTGCCGGGCACCAGTGCCGGGCACCCAGTCTGGACGCAGCCTAATTCTACCTGACATGACGTAAAAGCGGGTAGGATTAGAAAATATGAATATAATGAGGTGTATTAGTTTTTAATTGCCCTGCGAGAACAAAGGGAATACCCGCAATCATGATATTATTTAGGTAATTCTCATTGGAATAATGTGTTGTAATTCATATACATATAAACGCCAAATAACCAAGCCTCATTAATACTGGTGAGAGATGGTGCCCTAACAGCACATCCCCTTGGTGTCTGTGTACATGTATTTATGAAAAAAACATGCAGGAAACTAACAAATAAATAAGGAATAGACTAGTATGGACGACAAACTCAAAGTGCAAAATTGGGCATGCTTGTGCGAGATTATGCAACATTAGGCGAAATTAGGCGACATGAAGCGAATAGACTGTTAGGCAAAGTTCAAAAATTGGGTGCACATGGGCGAAAGTTGGCGAAATTAGGCGACCTTGGCCCCCAAAGTAGGCCTTCAGTTACCATCTAGCAGAAATATCGCTTCCACAATAGTGAAATGTAAAACATGAAACACTGATTGATTTGCCAAACACACCTCTGCGAGAAAGGTGTATCAGTTCTTTTATTCAAAGCCATCCCCCTCAGATTACGGTACATTTATTCTTATATGGGTGTTGAGTTTTCCAAATGGATTAACTCATGAGAAATCTCGCTTCGCAAAGCCAATGGGGAATGGGAAAGAATTTTCTTACACGTGGGAAAAGTTTTCGTCCAATCAAATTATACGATTAATTAAAATATGAGCAAAATTTGTACTTGGCCTGAAATTTCTCGCCTGGCTTTCGTGACGATTTTGCTTCAAGGTGAACACTTTATTTTGTCGCTTATATATATCGGGACTGTCAGAACATTAGCAGAAAAATAATGAAAAGGAAGATGTAACAGGTCAGTGGTTATAATTCTGTATACGAGAGTTAATTTTGAACGGTCCCAGTGTAGATTATTAGTGGCAATAATAGCAAAACTTGGTTGATAGGAATGGAAGTGCGTGGAAAATACAAGAGAAATTCGACGTTTTGAGCGAAGGCCCTTCCTCTGGGAGCTAGTAGGCAAACTTCTCGACGAAGAACTAACTTCCCGATGAAAGAACTTCGCTCGAAACGTCGAATTTCTCCCTGTATTTTTCAACTACATCACTATCAGCCATTTTGTAATATAAAAGTTACCATCTAGCGCAAACATGACTTCCACAATAATGAAGTATTAAACACTGTTGGTTTGGCAAAACAAATGGCGCTGCAAGAATGATGTATCAGTTTCTTATGCTCAAAAGAGTCCATTTATATTCTCTTCTAATAAGGGTGGTTCAATCTCATTTTTCGTTCATGTTTTTGAGTTTATTCTATTAATGATTGCGAAATCTCGCGTATCAATAATTTTTTCTTTTGTAAAGTGGAAACACCACATGAATCTTTTTTGGCAATTGCAATTGGGCGCTATATTTTGATACTCGTGTAGTTTGCAAACTGTATCTCTGAATATTAATATTCTCATTTTTATGATCAGAAATTCTGTAAGAACCGAGATATTGTAAAGATTCAATAAAGAAAGATTCGAGGGAACAGTTGGGTGATATTTTTTATCGAAATTTGACCGTACGGGGAAAAGATCTGAAAGGCTGAAACCATGTCTAGCAAATGCGACTTGTGCAACAAGATATTTTCCCAGAGAAGCTCTTTGCTAAAACACAAAAGAACACACACTGAAGACAAACCTCATGAATGTGATGTTTGCAACAAAAGATTTTCCCGGTCACGTGTCTTAATTGTACATAAGAGAACACACACTGGAGACAAATCTTATGAATGTGATGTTTGCAACAAAAGATTTTCGCAGTCAGGTCACTTAACTGCACATAAGAGAACACACACTGGAGACAAACCTTATGAATGCCATGTTTGCAACAAAAGATTTTCCCGGTCAGGTAACTTAACTTCACATAAGAGAACACACACTGGAGACAAACCTTATGAATGCGATGTTTGCAACAAAAGATTTTCGCACTCAAGCACTTTAAGAAATCATAAGAGAACACACACTGCAGTCAAATCTTATCAATGTGATGTTTGCAACAAAAGATTTTCGCTCTCAAGCACTTTAATCATCCATAAGAGATCACACACTGGAGACAAACCTTATGAATGTGCTGTTTGCAACAAACGATTTTCACACTCAAACACCTTAGTTACACATGAAAGAACACACACTGGACAGAAACCTCATGAATGTGATACTTGTAAGAAGAGATTTTCGTGCTCGAGCAACTTAACTACGCATAAACGAACACATACTGGAGACAAACCTTATGAATGTGATGTTTGCAACAAAAGATTTTCACAATTGTGCAACTTAGCTACCCATAAAAAAGGACATACTCAAGATAAACTTTATGAATGTGATGTTTGCAACAAAAGATTTTCACAATTGTGCAACTTAGCTACCCATAAAAAAGGACATACTCAAGATAAACCTTATGAATGTGATGTTTGCAAAAAGAGATTTTCATGCTCCGGCAACTTAACCAAGCATAAAAGAACACACACTGGAGAGAAACCTTATGAATGTGATGTTTGCAAGAAGAGGTTTTCACAATCGGACTACTTAACCAAGCATAAAAGAACACATACTGGAGACAAACCTTATGGATGCAGTATTTGTAAAAAGAGATTTTCACAATCAAGCCATTTAGCTACTCATAAAAAAACACATACCGCAGACAAACCTTTTGAATGTGACATTTGCAAGAAGAGATTTTCAGAATCATACAAGTTGACACGACATAAAATATCAGCACACAAGGTAAAGCAGTGTTTTGAGTGTGCTAAATGTAAGAAAACATTCACACAACGTAAAAATCTCAAACGTCACTGGAGAGTACATTCAAGAGATGGCTTATTATTCTGCAACAGTTGTGGCAGGGAAATTATTCAAGAACATGGACATGATGGTGAGATACTGAGTGGCGATTATTGTGTCTGTGACAAGTGCGACAAACCGTTCCCTGATATTGAAAGTTTATATCAGCACAAGGCCAAAGACCATGGTACGTCCTACCAATGTTATGTCTGTAAGGAATTCGAAGCAAAAGAAGCAACTGGTATTTGTTATATCTGTTGTGTCTGCAATGCCGAGTTTGAAATTGCCACCGAACTTGAAGATCATATGAGTATGCATGACAATGTGCTGCCCCACTAGCAAGACAAGATAAAACGTAGTTCAGTCAGTCTGCACTGTTCTTGAAATAAATCCAAACAGGGCTTTGAATTGTTGATTTGACATATTTATTGTCTAGACTTTCCAGTGAGTCTAGACAGTGAATTAGAGATTTTGATTCCATGTTTACGCGTCATCACATCAATATTTCGCATAGTTATTGTTTTCAAAAACTATCGCTCGTGTGGATGGCGATCTTCTGTGATCATTCTTACTATGTTTACACTTTTAAATTGCCAACTCTCAATTGCTGTCACATATGCGTTTTCTCAACTTTACAGAAGGAGATTCAGTTCTCTAGTTAAAAGGTTCAATATTGTCGATATGCGAAAAGTGGATAATATTTTCAAATATCAATATTTTGGAAATATCGATATTTATCAAAGATATATTGATATATCTCATCAATCTAACTAATGTGTTGTGATGAAACCTCTCTTGAAATTTATTTGAAACTGTTTTGAAATAGTTTGAGATTGTTTGAAATTGGTTGAATTGTTTAGAGATTATTTTGACATGATAATGCAATGAGTCAATGTCACTGTTTATAAATATGATTGAAATGTGATATTGATAATTGACTGTAATGTATTTTGAACTAAAGTCATATTTTTGTTAGAAGTTTGTTAAAATAGTGGATTCCTAGTATAATAAGATTTGGTTACAATAATAGTACTTTGAACTCTTCGTAATTAATTTTGTCATTGTCAATCTTATATGTATTTTGAAATTCGATGTATCATCTACAAGCATGCATGGGCGACTCCAGTCGACTGCCCACTCTCCTCTGCAGTCTGCAACGCTGCCATCCGAACATCACATTATATTGACGTGTCTATATCATCTTTTTCATGTATGCGTGACTGGACAGTTGCTGTAGCACAGTGCAGTAAATCTTCTTGTTACACTGGCCGCAGCCAGTGTCATAATTTGCCCTTGCTGCAAATACAAGGAATTTTTCGTGTTTTTTTTGGTTGTTGCAAGTGTGATTTTCCATTGCGGCATCCTGGACTCAGGATTGCGCAATTTAGCTAAAACATGCTCACGGACTATTATTATGACCAATTCTACACAATGTTAATCAGAACGACTTTCGTGTTAAACCAGCCTCGTACCCAGGCGCTATGTGTTGTCCTGGGCTTGCGCGGCCTTTGCGTGGGCCGCGTGGATTAATTTGATCGATTTCATGGTGAGGCCCCTGGCAGAATCCGTTTCGATGTCTGGAGCGGATTGCGATTTCTGGAGCGGACTCAATAAATTGGATTTTTGGTGGTTTGAAATACCACTTTTCATTGAAAACTGTATGACATTGACGAATCTTTCAAAAGAATAACTGTTGAATGTAAATTTGTGCGAATATCGTGCTTATTCAAACTACACAAAGTCGGGTATATTAAAATACTATAATTACACTTCCCGAAGGGCAAGTGTCATAAAACACCACGACACAAGGTTTCTGTCGTTTTCGTCGTCGAGAAATGGAGTTTCCATCAGCGCATCGCAGGCTCAAAAATTATGTGCATCTATGGATTTCTATGGATAACATATGTTTTTCTCAGTATGTGCATCTATGGATTACATATGTTTTTTTCAGTTAACCATGGGATAACTTAGGATATCTATGTCTAAAAATATATTCCACGACGCTTTTTTTAATTTTGTGTTTTTGCATGAAATGAAACGTTCCATGGATTTATGGCCCTTTTATTGCTGGAAAAGATCTCTACCATACATCATGTCTTGGATAGGTATGTTCTACAAACCCTTACTCACTGTTAAGTCAATTTTATGTTGTAACTTGTGAATTATTTAAGCGTACCAAAGTCACATATGAATATCAAAAATGACCTTGAATGTTGTCACGAAATTCTTTCCTGGGCCGCAAAATTATTCGTTAGAAATTCATTTTATTCAAGTTTTAATGACATGTAAAGTCAGGCCTTAAAATATCTTTTCCAGGGCCGTCTGACAAAATGTCCGGTGACGTTGAGTTTGGGTCGGACATATGTCCGATGACCTTCAGTTCATTTTTGACTTGGAAATAAGTGTATATGACACAAATGAATAAACGGTAAATGTTGTAAAGATAATTTGTTTCTTTCATACTTATTTCCAAGCCAAAATTAACAGCAGCATCAAAACGACTTCGACAACTTAAGCAACATTTCCAGTTGACCTTTGATACAAATAGTACTCTGGTTTTCCATTTAACATGCAAGCCTCTAGTCCTTTGCTAAGGTACATTTTGATTTACGTCGGACAAAGCTACAATTCGGTCGGACACCAATACACTCAGGTCGGACAAACAATAAACCTCAGTTTTACTTTGGTCGGACAGAATGTCCGGTGGTTTCCTCTCTACGTCGGACAATTTCACGAATGGGTCGGACAATGTCCGTGACCGACCGATATTTTAAGGCCTGAATGTAAAGTTTAATACGAGGTTTATAAACAAACGAGATACTGGGTTTTAACTCGGTTTTACTCATTTTAGGTCTTAAGATAATATATTTAATTTAAATTTAACAACTGAACAATATTTTTAATTAACCTGAATTTTAACACTTGTGAAATATTAAAATCCCTGGCTATTCCCAGGCTTTTCACATTTTCAATTGACCATTGTTTTGTATCAGCCTGGTTATTACAGTCAAAGTGCTATCCTATAAGTACCCTGGGTGCCAGAGCCTCTTGTGATAGAAGTGAGGGTACCACGAGGAGGCTCTTGTCACACGAGCATCCAGCCTCACTTTGGTGAGTTCAATATCTGTTTGTGATTGGTCTAAATTTATGCGAGTCTTTTCATTGATTAACCGACGCTCATTGGTTAACCAATGAAAAGACTCACATAAATATTGACCAATCACAAACAGAGTTCAAATATTGAACTCACCAAAGTGAGACTGGATGCTCGTGTGACCAGAGCCTCCTCGTTGTATCCTCACTTCTATCACAAGAGGCTCTGGCACCCTGGGTATACTATAAGGGGCCACATCCATATTCATGTTGCCACGCATAACGTTGAATCGATGTTATGAGTGGGTGCAGGGTTTAAACGTTAACTCTTTGAGGTTATCTTGTCGCAATTTGACTATTGTTTTTAATATTATTACAGTATAACCTTTCGATTATAAATTTTCACATTTAAGTTATAATACAATAAAAATACAGATGAAAAAAACTTAAATTCTTACTGAATGTCGACAATGTCACAATCTCAATTAACATGGTTGTATATGCTGTTGTTCCGGTGCCAACAAATTTGTGCATGTTTTATTTTGTTTTCAGGGTTTTAATACATCTTTAAGATAAATTGACTATTTATTTATTATTTGTGACGTTTTTCACAGTCAGAATATGACTATGCCATGCTCGACGTTATCTGAGGTGAGTACAAACAATAACATTGTTTCAACGTTATGTGTGGCAACATGAATATGGATGTGGCCCATAAGTATAAATCACCCCTGAACGAAAAAGCATGATTGGCCAATTAAATTACAGAAGCAGTCCTGACATACTGTAACAAGCCCATATATGCATCAAAACTGCAAGACCAAGCTGCTTTGATTAGCTGCTGTGATTGTTTATGTCATTATCATATGTTGTATTTTTGTTCTTGCACTTTATTAGCTTGCTTTGTTAAAGTGGTTCCACTTATAGTAGACGCACTGTAAGATTTTGGCTCGCCCACATATAAACCCCTTTTTGAATGTTACAATGTGATTGATGCTGTGATGTGACAAATGTTGTCATGTGACTGATATGATGTGACTCATTTTATGATGTAAGAAAAATTTTTTTAGACACAGCTTTGGGCAAGATCATGTTGCATATTTTCAATCACTCTTTGAAATAAGCCAACTTTGTTTTACTTTTTTGTTTGTAAATATCAAGATGAAAAAATAAATGTTTAACTTTAAGTGATGAAAGTTACTATTTTCTTATGAAAGTTACTTTTATATTTGACATACATGTAAATAAATATAAAGGCAAATTGCCTCCTAAAGTATTTCCTGGGCCCCCCTCTGTAATATAGCTAATTAATATGCTAATAACTAATCCAAATAAGAATAACTAATCAGTATTCAATATATAGTTCACAAACACTATAACACGCGTTTATCTCGTTTTATTGAGTCTTAAACACTACATTCTGGCGACGAGGATACACAATTG